AAAAAAAAATCAGCCAGGTACTCCATAATCATACATACTCAGTGTTGGCTGTATTTAATCAACTTCCTAGTCGGTTTCCATTCCTGAGCACATGTTGCTTTTAGCAGCAGTTGAAAGATAGACAGTGCATTTAATGTGGAATCTGTGTACGTGAATGGAAGATGAGGGGCTTTTTGCTCTGTTATGATTGGGGAAAAATATCTTGTCTTCTATTCAAGTAAATATGGTGTATATGTATATAGCGTAATTTTTTGTGAGCTCACTTCATCAGGTGCTGTGAAAGGATGTACAGAAAGCAGAGTATATAGAGAGAGAAATTCCCCCCTCTCCCCCAGCCCTCCTCCCCTCTCTCTTCCCCCAGCCTGCCACCTCCTTTGCCTTTTTACTCAAATTTCTCTCTTCTTCTTACATATCTGATGAAGTGATCTTCAACTCATAAGAGCTTGTGCTATATATCTACTTTGGCTAGTCTGTAAAGTGCAATTCTATCCTGCCTTCCACCTGTAGAACCATACTTGCACTTATCCATATATGGCATAGTAGTTTCTTTAAAGGTAAAATCAGATTTTAGTTAAGTTTGGCATAGTGGGAAAGAGTACCTTCACTCACTACTTTTGGTTAAATGGCTGCACAAAGATTACTTTAAGAAAAATGAAAGTCAGTACCAAGAAGTACTTTCTCCACCACTGCCCTACTCTGGGTATATTTACTCAGATATCTGACTGTGCTGTGGAAAGAACACAATGCATTTACAAAGGAATTTTGAGACCTTTAAAAGACTGGGCACACATTTTATTGGTGACTGTGCAACAGTATTTTTGCTCTGGTACAGAAATAAACAGAAGTTGCATTTGCGAGAAGAGAATGTTTACGTTTTCTTTTCGCCTACATACTGCACCTTCCCGCAAATAAATCCCAGGCTGATATCTGAATTTTATAGCTATCCATTTATTGTTATATTTTCATATAATGTATCATATTACCTGCACATCAAACAAGACTTACTCAAATTATTGTACAGGCCTCTTACAAACAAGGTAAGTACTATATGGGTGCTGTAAATCATTCAGCTTGCATATATTTAACTTACAGGTGAAATAATCTATTTTTACTGTTTTTAAGCCTGTACAACAACCAAATTACAGATGTTGGAGCCAAATATGTTGCAAAACTCATTGAAGAATGCCCAAGCCTCACATATGTTAAGTATGGCAGATTCTTTTTCCTTTATGCTGTGCAATACGTATAATTCAGAGAAAGTAAATTTAAAGTAAGGAGAGAGAATTTTCTTGAGTAACAAAAAAAGTTTAAGACATGTATACATGGAGAAAAATAAGTGTGTAGCATTACCTACTTCCTTATAATACTCTGACAGGGATAACTACCTGTAATTCTTTAATCTATAACCTTTACTGAAGACAGTGTCGTTCTGTGGGTAGAATTAAGTCCTGTGTTAAAGGACAGCATAACACTTATGTTCCTCAAACCCAGTCTTAGGTGCTTGAGTGAGATTTAAATGATCAATAAACTTTGTGTGAGCCTCTGCATGGGGGTGAATTTCAATCACTGTACCTAATTTTGCATTTGTTTAGACCTGACCTTTCTACATGTAAAAAGAGGAATTTTATCTTGGTATCACATTTCCATGTAAGAATTACCAAAATTTAGCTGATGACTTGTTGCCATTAGTTCCAGGGGATTTCCTGCAAATTGGAACATGTAGCCATGCACAATAGTAGTTTTCATTCAGAGACAGAAAATTAACCCATGGTTTAATTATCACCACCAGAAAAAAACTAAGAGTGAGAACAAATCATGAGATCCTGTGGAATAGTACAGTAATGGGAGGCAGAATCCAGTCTGCTATTAATTTGAACTACTCACATCCTCCCTATTTAAATATTTGTACTGTACTTTAAAGCCATTCTAAATGCTAATTGGCTGTTGCCATGGTGATCTCAGGGGTGTGATACAGTTTCTTATACATTGGACACATCTTCCAGGGTATTCTGGCTTTTTTGAAAAACCCATTGAGTGCCATTAATTTCTGGATGACATTTGAGTTAGATGAGAATGGGAAGGAGGGGATGAATCACATGTACATGCAAAAATAGGACAATTTAGAGTCACCAGTCTGAAATTTTTTTAAACAAATGCACATGCAATCAAGACTCCAACCTTTCTCAGATCACACTTAATTTGTATCACTTAAATATCCACATACAGGCCAAAACCAAAGCATTCTCCCTATCTGCCATGGGCCAAAGACTTCACTGTCTTACACTGTTCGAGTGTTGTTTGCCCTCTTCAGCAACACCTGGCAGATGGAGACAACACCTATCACCTGTACTCCATCTTCCCTATGATTTGAACAAATTGAGGCCTGGAGGTAGTTGCAACTTGGGTTTATTAACTGTAACCCTCCAAAGCTCCACACTGGTAAAAATTGTGTTCTGCTTTGGGGCATCATGGAACACCATACAGTGGCAACTCCTGTAACTCATGTTTCATGTGATGACTGGCAAAAATCCCAGCTGAGAGTAGGACAGTGTTAAATTGTGCAGGGAATTATAACTGCACAACCAAAATTGTGCAGTTGGCTTGTTTCTGAAGTTCACCTCAGTACACTTGACTATATTTTCCTTTAAGGGCTGAAGTGCTGGCTTTCTGCACAGAAGTGAGGTCCTTCTCATTATATTTTGCATCTGGAAGTGACAGTGGCTATTTATTTATAATCAAAAGTTAAAATATGGGCAGCAGTGTTACTCAATGGACATCTGTAACTGACCTCTGACATTAATGAACTTGGCTATTAAGGTCAGTTGCTAAACTGGAGCTCAAATAGCAAACAGATTGTTTACATGGAAATAATTTTTAAAGAACTATCTTAACATTTAATATATTATGTGCAGAATAGGAGCAAACAAAATAACCACCGAAGGAGGGAAAAGTCTTGCCCTTGCTATCCAGAAGAGCAAAACAATGTTTGAAATCGGGTAAGTACAATTTGTTAATGCTAGTATTGCCTGTTTTTCATATGCTGGGCCAGCCATGGAGCTCTGACACTTAGTAGCACATTTGGCCGACTACATGTAGGAATGGCAGCCATGCACCATCTCTTTTTGCCCCTTTGCAAAGCTGAAATACAATGAGTAGAATTACAGACTGTTAGATTTATTCAGGTTTCACTGTTGAAAGTTAGCATTTTTGTTTTCCCTTTTTCGCTAGCAACATTTGAAAAGTATAACCAAAACTCACCCAGCCTGCAGACCCCTTTCTACCTAATACCATTCAGCAAAGCACTTAGGTGGTCTCAGCTGGAGGCTAGAACCTCTCCAAATGAATTTTGCCTAGCTTGGGAAGTGTTCATTTAAACAGAATATATTGAGTTTCCACATTTTGAGGCTTTTCTAATCAACCTGAAATGTGCCTAAGGACTGTGGGAAATTGTTTGAAATGGTAGTGCTTAGATGACAGAGCTCAACCAATTTCAAAAGAGTACCAGCCAATTACCTGCCAAGCTGAACATTGCTCTGAGTTGAGTCATCAGGTTTTTCCTAATGAAGAATGTTGTACCTCAAAAACAGCCTTTTAGACCTCCTCTGACAGGGTGAATTTTCAAAGCCGGGGGTCTGGAGAGAAGGATTTTGTCAGGTTCCTCAGCAGGAGGTGGTGGAATTACTCTGCATAGCTTTGAAACTAGCTTTCTTCTGGCACTGTATTTGACTTGTGTTTTATTTAATTAGAAATATTATTCCTTGAAAGCAGTCATAAAAATACAAAAGGTTGTGCAGGCTCCATGGATTTTTATTCCTTCTTTTGGCTCTCTGTCATTGAGGTAGTAATAGTCCCTCAGGCCCCTTGCAACAATAATAGGCTTATGACTATTTTATCTCAGTGTGATACTGAAGAAAGGGGACCTGCAGTCAGGGTATGCATGTCCATGTGGAATGGTCATCCTGGAGCACATGTCCTAGTGTGCATCTGGGGAGAGGATGAATCTTTCCCACCTACACACTTCTTGCAGGACATATCCTCAGCCTCTGCATGCAGGAAAGTAAGGAAACTGCTCCCATCATATTTGGGCTTGAATCAGGGAAATGACAGGATCTTGGTCCCTATCTCCCGTAGAACAAGAACCAGGGAGTAATGTTGCATGTACACTATAAAGAGATAGAACTGAAGGGTCTCCGTAGAGTTCTCTCCCCGAGTTAATCTCTGGATTCTGACTTTTAATCCAGAAAAGTGCTAGGAGTGGAACTGGCAAGGCTCAATGAAAGTGAAGAGTAACAAATTCCTGACAAGACTGAAGCACTAGTTAGTGACACAAGGTCATGGGGAGAGTGGAATGTGCATTGACAAGGATGGCATTAAATCCATGTGTCTGATTTTCCTGATTTCCTTTCCTTGCCAGAATGTGGGGCAATCAAATTGGAGATGAAGGAGCTAAAACTTTTGCTGATGCGCTCAGGAATCATCCTACTTTAACAAACGTGAGGTAAAAAATAGAAAAACAAAAAATGCTTTGGAAATGCTGTCTTTCTAAAGTGCTTTGAAAACTCACCTGCCTCTGACCATCTTTACCTTAGAGCACCAGTTAGAAATGTAGTCTTTTCTCTGTGGCCAGTAGGCTACCAAGTCAAACAAAAATCTCTTTAGATTATGTGAGACTCCCTGTTAGAAAGAAGAACTGTACATCTGGCACCCTTCCTCTTCCAGTGCTTGAAATAGCAATCTGAGGCCTGGTTCCCTGTAACCTTGCAACACATAGAGGCAGACACCAGCATAAAGAGTGTGCCTAGCACTGCTGTTTTGACTCATTTGCCCTGCTCTATAATTCCACAAGTTGCAGGGAGATGGAAAGTCAAGCCCCTGTTGTTGTGAGTATTATTATGGTTCACCCTCTGATGGAAAAATAGATCCATTTATTTAGTATTGCTCACTATTGCAAACTCTTTGGGGGCAGAGTGTCTGCACAACATTCAAGCTGTAGGGGACTATAAGAGAGTAGTCCTCATAATCAGCTAGACCTCTGTTAAGAATGAAGTTCAGTACGTAGTACTGAGCTGGCGCTAAAATGATTGAAGTTGGCAGCTGGGGAAACCAGCAATATAAATCTGACCCTGGAAGTTTCATCTCTTGCCAGTTTTTCAAATGCTTATTGGGAACTTGAGGGTGATTTTTCAAAGTCACTTTCCATGTCTAGTGCCTGCTTCTTTATTTTGACCCTCTGTTGTCCAGTACCTTCATTCTGTTTCCTAGTGATAATGAATTCCATTATTAATGTTCTTTTGAAAGACAGAGCCAGTCTTTTCATTTCCCCCACAAGATGGCACACTTCAGTTTCTTCTACGCAAACACGGTGATTCTGGTCAGCATGTTTAGGATCACTGAAACATAAGAATCACTGTTAAACAGATCAGACGTAATTTGGAATCCTGCCCGTGGCATTGGCAAACACTGATGCTTCAGGTCTTGCCTAACACACAGCTATTCCAGCAGTGGCTTACCTTATTAAAACAGGTTATTTCAGCCAGTCTCACTAGTTGTGGGTAGACTTTTTTGCATCAGCGTATGCCTGAATAGGAAGCTAACTCCACCTGTTGTTTGTGGGCCTGATCCAGTGAAATCACTGGAGAGACTCCTGTTGATTTCAGAGGTTCTTGAAGCAGACCCGAAATGCTATGTGAAATAATACGGCCCTGTATTAGTATGAAGGGTCTTGCCCTTTCATTTCACTGAGTGTCTGCATTTAGCATACTCATGGCTGGTTCAGAGCTTGGGCTCTTGGCTCTGGGCATAAGGAGGAAGGCCCGGCAGTACAGAGGTTCTCTTCCCTACTGCACACATTTCCCCTCGCTGTTGCCTCCTTACAGGTGCTGGGTTCGAATCCAAGGATTACACTGTGGAGGACAGTTTGGAGAGGTGAACAGTTTGGAAAAGTTCCTGGATCTCTGCTCCAAGAAAGTTTCTATTAGTAGTCATCTACTAGGTCTGATATAATTAGGTGGCATTTGATTTTGGGCTTCTTTGGCACAAACATGAGGTGAAACTCACATCTACACCACTTGAATCCAACTACCACAACTGGATTTTGGGGAACTCGAATGAAACTTGAAAGCACAGGAGCAAATCTTCCATGTATAGAGGAAAGATTTGCTCAGCCTATGTTTGGGTTCTAAACAGAATTTTAAACACCTACAACTTAGAATTTAATATTAGACAGACACATTTGCCAAAATCCACTTAAAGAAAGAGAAGCAAATTAAAAACAATACCTGTGGTCTTCTACACTGAAAACCGTGCATATATTTTATAAGTTTAAAGGTGTATGCAATAGCAGCACTGTTCTAGAATAACATTTCCACAATTACAGCTATTGTGATAATGTATATCATTTGACAGAGTTATGGCAAATGCGTCTGCAAGTAAGCATGTAATGTTCATTACATGCTCATCTCCTTTCTTTTTGAAAACATTTGGCTCCCACAGACACTGACCACAATTCTTCTTTCAGTCCTTTAACTTAGTGATTCTTAACATTTTTAGATTCAAGGCGCCATTTGGAAAATGTCAGCTCTTAATATTCACTTTATTTTTAAGTATAGAAAAATAATAGAGCAGTTCTGTTGCAAAGAACTGAGAAAGACTGCAACAGGTCATCATGTTTTTAACACTATTGGTTCTTATTTGAAATCTCCAGGTTTATCTTGTGAATCATATTTGCACACCTAACAGTGCAAAGGATCTCAAGGTGCTTCAGGGTTGAGGAGTGCTGTCTTGCATAAAACTGCCTGATGCTAAACCTTGAACCCTGTGCAACTGAGAACAGAGTTGGGTCCAGGCTTCTACAACAGAAGCCTGCCAGTGAGTTGTTTCCACTTGTAAAGTATTAATTAGTTACTGTTTGCAAAGCCTTTGAGCAAGCAAGCCCCCATCTAAATGCTAAGTACTAGAATTAGTTTTAACACCATTACGGTTACTTATTTTTGTTTGAAATGAAAATTTCAACTTTTTTTTTTTTTTATAAATCTCTTTCTTCACAGTCTTGCATTCAATGGCATTACAACTGAGGGAGGCAAAAGCATTGCTGAAGCTATGCAGCACAACAACACTGTGAGGATATTTTGGTAAGCCATGTTGTTGTATTCTGCTTCAGCTTATATATCATATATTCAGCCTGTATTAGTGAAATTCAGTGGGCTGCAAATGAGAACTGCAGCTATTTTTTTTCACATGGGAAAGTCAATCTCATTTCCCTCTGGAATGGGCATGAACATGAACAGCCAGCAACGCTTGTTGCTCGTCTCTCATGAAGAAGCGCTGGAGCCCAGCATATTTCACACTGAGGATATGTCTGCACTGGAGGGTGCAGATGTAACTACAGCACAGGTAGGCATACCTATGCTGTCTTTCGTCTTGCAAGCACTGGTAGCAATAGCAGTGAAGATATAGACACAAGAGGTTTGGCACAATCTAGCAACCAGAGCATCTCTAAGTCATCTTTTACAGCCCATGATGCAGTTCAGGGTACCGTATTTTCACTGTTGTTGTTACCTGTGCTAGCTAAAACAAAGCTAGTATAGGTAACTGTGCCTACCCCTGTTTTAATCACGCATTCATTTGATAGCGTGGAATGGGAGTGGCCAGCCAGCAACCTCTGTGTGGTGCACAGCAGATCAGGAAGGGAACAGGCGGTAAGATAGGGCAGGAAGCAGAAGGCAGGGCAGCAGATTGGGCAGAGGAAGGGAATTGGAGTGGAACTCAGGTAAGGTGCAGGGCTGATTTGTGGCACCCCTGCCAAAAAGATTGGCCACCACTGGTACACACTTACCAGGATTTTGAGCCAAGCAGAGAAAGGCATTAACTCCTTTCACAGGGAAGCATATAGAAGCTGCCACAGAGGCTACCTGTTGCCAATTGCTAAGATAAGATTTTCACTTGGGCTCATCAGTGCAGAGAGAAACTAGAACGGGAGGTAGCTTGGTAGGATTCCCCAAGGGGAAGATCAAATGTTGATGCTTCCCTTTCTAGCTCACAGCCTGGGAGGGAACAGAACAGAAGCACTCCCACACAGGAGAAACAGAGGCGGGTTTGGCACTCCAGGGTATTAAGAGTGCTTCTCCTTCTTGCTGGGGAGGAAACTCCCAGACTGAGAAGCCTGAAGGTCCCCCCTAACAAATGCATTGACGCAATTGCCAATTTTGCTGTGAGACTGGGCTGGGTGTGTTTGTAGTGTGGACTACGTGCATTCCCATGGCCCTAGCTGTGTTGCTGGAGGAGCTCCCACCATCTGCAGGTGCCTGGGGCTGGCTATTTGTTTCTCTCATTTCTTTTGCTACTGTACTTTGGCCATTCAGCAACACAGAGAACAAAGCCTCAATGAGAGGAGACATTTACAGAGACTAAACTGCAATGCAATCTGTGCAAGGCAAGTGGGACAGGACCATTCTGTGGTGGCGGCAGCATCTCAGATCCACTTTGCACAGGTGTAGATGGCTAAAGTAGGTGCCAGGCTATGGGGAGAAAAGCTTCATGTCCAGCTAGATTCAGTGAGAAGACAGCTGAGCATCAGTGGCATATTGAGAAAGTAAGGACCACCAGACTCCTACTATCAACTGGTAATGTGCCCAAGACTGGTTTACTGCTTTGATCAAGCAGAGTTCCTCCATCTTGGAATCATTTTCTTGAGCCAGATAGAAACACTGTCCCCAGCTATGCCTTCCTCCCATTTACATAGTTCTTCATACTGGCATACACTTTTCTAATACTAACATTGCTCACTGCAGATACACCTGTAAATGCTAGCACTGGGAGCTCTACAAAAGCTAGTTACAGAGCAAGGCAGCTCCCTTCCTCTTTGGCCTTCCATTCTCCACATCAATCCCATCTAGAGCACAAAAAAGATTCTCCCAAGCCCGTGGACCACAAGGATTAATGGCCTCTATTAAATTCAGGCTTCTTCCTCCCTCAGATCCCTGCCAGCCTCTGCACTGCCCCCCACCAACCTCTGCAGCTCTACTCTCATTTCTTTCCACTCTTCCCTTCACTTTCCCCTTATTCTCATCTCACTTTTGTTTTGAGAGCAGTTTCTTTGTTCTCGCATGCTTTCTTTGATGCTTACAGCTATGTTGAACTGCCCACCTCTTCTAATGCACAACCTCTCCTCCCCCCCAGTATGTTCTCCAAGGCCCAGTCCTCCTAACTCACATCAGTGAAGTCCCACCTCCACCCACATTTTCACCAAAAGAGCCAGTACCCTTCCCTCTCCTACCTTTTGCCTTCTCCCCAGAGTATTTTGCATCCAATCTTTGAAGTCACTAAGGGCAGGAACTATCTCACTATTTGTGGCTTATCTAAAATTTAGTGCGTTTGTCAGCAAGTTAAATAACTGTGAAGCAAAAGATGAAAATGTGAAATGAGGAGCTGTATAAATATCTCCTGATCGAACTGTCTCCCTCCGTTAGGTTGACTAAAAATGACTTGGATGACGAGGCTGCAGAGAGCTTTGCAGAGATGGTGAAAGTCAACAAGAAGCTAGCACATTTGTGGTGAGTTCCACTTACACACAGGTCTGGTCTCTTTGACAACCACTGCATTATGGCTTCAGCTTGAGGCCTGCTTAGGTACCATAAACTTTCTGGGCATGGCCTGGATATGCTGGGTGTTTGGGTGACAAGTTAAATAAGACGTGCTGCTTCTAACATTTTTCAGGCTTTTGGAAAATGTGCATGAAGTTGGACACCTTCATCCACCTTCAGGCACAACAGCAAAGGTCCTAAGTTTTAGAGGTGCTAAACATTGGCAGTTCATAACAAAAACAGTGGAAACTCTTGAGTTATCAGCACTTTTAGAATACAGAGACTTTGACTGGAGGTGCTTAGGTTTTGGCATTTACAACTGAACCTTTTGTGCACAGTTTATTCTAAATCTCTCTTAAAATAGCATGAGCATATCTTTGGACCAGCGCCTGCATAAGGGCTCAGCACAACTCAGTCACTGCTGCCAGTAGACAAATTTATATCCTGGCTTTCCTGGTTAAGCCAGCTCATGTCTCCAAATGGCAAATGGGCCCAGGCAGATATTTACACTTGAGATGGAGCCAAACATTCTCCTAGTATCTAGAAGGATTCACAGCGTTTTGCTGTATTTCCATCCATTGACCAAGTATAGAAGGTCCTTTAAAGTAAATTCCTCTTTGCCTTACTTCAGAGGTTCTTGAAAACGAATTCTCTCTACCATCTGAGTTACAAACCTCTGCTAGTTATGGGGGACATCACCAAAAACTATGAGGCACATGATGAGTGAGGCCAGACTACTGTAGATCAGTGGTGTTTTCAGATTTGTGAACCCCTCCCCCTAGCTATTAGTAAGGATCCCTGCTCCCTCAGTTTCTGTATTTGTACATTTTATGTATTTTTCTTTTTAAACACTCATGCTAGGGGGTAGTTTATGTTTGATAAAGGAGCATTTCAAATGCATTTCTCCGTAATCAAAGACGAGATGGAACTCTCCACGGACCCAGTAATCATGGCTCAGTTAAACTGGCTGGAGAAGTTGCCTGGATCTGTGGCTTATGTACATCTGCCCAGAAGTGGAATGTGTCAGGAGTACTTCAACCCTGATGGAAACCAACTTCACCAAGAGGATTTGCACCCACTTACCCCTAGCCTGTTTCCAAAAGGCTTCCAGTTTCTCACTGGCTTGATAAATGGGACCAGGATTAGAATAGCATTTGGGTCTCTCACATGATAAATAGTAACTTCTTAAAAAAAATGTCAGCCTGCCACAGAATAGGCACATAAAATTCTGTTTGCATCACTTAAATGGTGCTCCTTTGAAGAGTTCTAGCTAAATAGAAAATATAACTCTGACAGATTAAATCAGAGTAAAGCATTTTTATGTCAGTGGATTCAGCTTTCCAAACCCCACACTGAGAGCAATCAGCTCCTGCTCTTCAATCAAAAAGCAGATGTTCCATCAATTGTACAATTAAGCTCAATAACCCTAAAACACATGCACATACTTGTAATCAAGAAGCTCTAAGAGCCCAGCCCTACTTCTAGGAGTACATCTATGGGGAGACTGTCTGCCACCAACATGCTGTCTGCAGGGACAGAAATCAGAACCACCTCTCCTGGCAGCCATCCAGCCATGCTCTTCAGTGTCAAGCTTAGCTAGGAATTAAGCGTTGTTTTCTCAGTCAGACACCCCAGACATTAGCCACGTGTGCAAGGAAGGAGATGCTGCAAATTGTACCTGAACAGCTGGACTGACAAAGTGCTTTGTTTTCAGGCTTATCCAGAATCGAATTACAGTCAAAGGGGCCCAGTATCTCTGTGAAGCTCTCCAGGAGAACACTGCCATTAAAGAGATCTGGTAAGGCCCTGAGTCTCAGTAAGCTGCCTTCCAAACCACTCTTGACTACAAGCTGCTTGCAGGAAGGTTTTCTGGTTTGTTTCATTTCGTTTTGGGGTATTTTGGGGAGCTTTTCCAGGAGAAAAAATTTAGAGGAAATTCCTAGAAAGTCAGTGTATTTCCAGCCTGTGAGGTATGTGACTTTCTACTCTAGCTATCTTGGCTAAGCTAATTCATGCCTCCAAATAGTAAACAGACCAAGACAGATATTTGCACTTGAGATGGAACCAGTCTCCCAGTAGCTGCAAGAACTCACCATTCTATTACTGACCAAATGCAAACACTTGTACCCACAGTCAGTCCCATAGGCTTCTCTCTGACTGCATACCTGGCCACTTAAGAATCAGGGTCTTTTACAGGCTTGAGTTTTGTTTAACCTGAATTAATGTTTTCCAGCTTTCTTTCTTAATGTGTTTATGCTGCTAAGGAGCTAACCCAAGATGCAGGTGAGAGCTGTGTTTAATTAGCATTCACAATTTAGCTAATCAAGTTTGTGCTTTGATTTTTTTTCAGGCAGCACTCCAGGCACAAAAAGTGCTAAACTGCAAGATTAATTTCTTGCAAGATTTGCTTGCTTTAGATTATGGAGGCATCAACCCCCATGTGCACACTTTGAGGCACAAAGCCAAACTCCCTCCACCTTCTCTGTGGGTTGTTAGAACTAGCAGAATCAGACTACTTTTAGTGCTGCTGCTTTTAGGCTAAGTGTTTGCTCCACCACACACACGCATAGCTATATAGAGAGATAGAAATAAATAATACATCCCCCCCATATACACGCATAGTTAAAAAAATGCAAGGATGTTAAGTTCTTGTTTTGAAAGAGTTGTCAACACAGGAGCCTGTCTTTAGGTTTCCCAGTGAGAGTAGCTGTATTTTCTGAGGGGCTACAGCCTTTTTAGGCCTTGGTGAGGGCTCAGTACTTTTGAAAACTAGGCTATTTTAAATCAGGGACCTAAATGTGAATCTAGGAGCCTAACTTTAAGGACAACACACAACATTTTGCTCTAGAATATTTAAGTAGTCCATGAAATAGCCCAGTAAATTAGGTTTTGTCCCTTTTATAGTGACACAGATGAATGAGAGTGAAATGGGGACCAGGGCTTTGTCCATTTGCTGACACTAGATGCCCAGTGCTGCGAACCTTCAGTAGCTGGATGTTACCATTCACAAGAGTCATGCCATTCTCAGCCAGTCACCCCACAGGCCTTTCAAAGCAGCATAGCCAACTTAAAGGCCATGTCTTGGCCTTCTTCCAGTCAAGGCTGTCTGGCTGTCTAAGGATGGTGCTTCTAACTCCATCATGAGATAACCAATCCCTGATTCAGTTTTCTAAAGTGCCAAGCCCCTAGTAAGCTCTCATGCTTGCACAGGACCTATTTATTTAAGTAATTTAAGCCACTGCGTTTGAACAGTGTTGCCCTCAGTATCTGTAACAAGGACACCAGTGTGAACTGGGTGTGAGGCACACCCTGCTGGGCTGTGCTCTGAGGTAAGCATCCAGCACACAGAGCCTTAGGAAACCTATCTCTGCTTCAAAACTTTGAAAGAAGCAAGAGACCTGGAATTACCAAAAGCCACAACATGGTCCCTGGTTTACTCTCCTTTCCTTTCACCCTCTCTGACAGTTTAAACGGGAACTTGATAAACCAGGAAGAGGCCAAAGCCTTTGAAAATGAAGAGCGGATTGTTTGCTTTTGAGCGACCACCTTCCAGTTTGGACAAGCTCAGTGTTACAAATGCTGCTTCAGCCCTTGGACAGTAGAGCTTCCATGGCCTCTATCTGTACTGGGGGCAAGTGTTGAGCTGCAGCCCAGGAGAGAGAGATGTGCGATTCACTGGCTTCCCATGAACACATTGTGCTTCCCCCCACCAGCCCCCACTGAAGTGCCTGCCTATTACTCTATACTTCTGCTGAGTGCAAAGTTGCCTTAATTACTAATGAATGCATGGTGTTTGAAGAGAAAATGCTAAGTGTTATCAGCCTCCACCCACTGGCAGATCTTTGTATATTGATAAATAGATGTATTCTGTACACAGGTGTAAATAACACTAACTTATTTATATTTATATACACAATAAAGGGAGAAGGAGCTTGTGAAAAATCCAAAAGCTCACAAGCTTTCTACTCAGTCACTAAAATAAGTTTGTAAGCACTTGGATAGTATCAATGGAAATGTAAATCATTTGTGGTGGTTTTCTATACTGTTGCCCTCAGCACTGCTAGTCTCTCCTGACTGATACCTGGAAGCTGATTTTCAAAGGTGCTGTTCTTGCTGACTCTACATGGAATACCAAGTACTCAGCACTCCACCTTGGACTTCAGGGCATTGATTACTTTTAATAATCCTTCCCCTACATAGGAGCTGGTTAGTGCAGCTTCCCCTAAATACTCTAAGGGCAGCCCGTGCTTGCATAGCCAGCATGGCTTTCCTTGTCCAAAGAATTAAAGTAGGTTGCTCTCTCGAGTACTCTGCCTTGGCACCTGGCCCTAGAAGGTGCTCTGATGGCAACATACTGTACGAGTTGCCTAGCTTCAAGGTGGCTAAAAACAGATCGAGTCAAGCAGGAACTTCTTATCCCTGAAGCAGGTAAGAGCAGGAGCATGTTGGCACTGGTATGAAAGGCTTTCCTTCTCTATGTGATTGAATGGAGAAACTGAACGTGTAGGAGAGGGATTAAAATGCAAAGCAAAGTGTGGAGCTAGAACATGGAGAAAAAGATTTTCAGAAGCAAGGATTTGGGGAATGCACGAGGAGGTGCTTTAAAGAAATATGTCAGAGGGCCAAGTATTCGGTGCTTCCTGCCAATCAGCCCCCCGTTGTTAAACAGCTCAAGCACTCAACATGTAAAGTAGCTAAAGCAACAGCTACTCAGAAAAGGCTTAGGCAGTGTTCCTAAAGTTTTCTTTTGCTAAATCATTGTTACTCTAAGATTGTTGAAAGAGCCGTTTTAGACTCCCCAACCACTGAGTAGCCCACAAAACCCTGATAGGCCAAAGAAGATTCAGGAAAAAAAATCCAGACCTCCGCAAAAATTAAATGTGAGAAAGTTCTTGTGTATATTTCAGATCCATGCCTCACTCCATCTCCCTCCTAGCCCCCACACCAGTCCATGTCAGTCTGCTCCCAAACACACTTAAGCATACTTCAAACCCTGCAGAAGCATTTTGTTATATTCAGGGGACTTTTCTTCCTTGGCTGTTACATCAGCAATGGGCCTTTCTTCACAGCAAGACCAACTGATGAGGTTTTTGCTTGTCCTTAAGAAATCAGGCAACTTACAATTTGTACATATGGATTGTATGTTTACTAAAGCAAAAAAAAAGGTCAAGTTACACAGGCAGCATGTTTCAACCACAAAACATCTGCCCACACAAGGCACTTAAAGCCCTCTTCACAGCTGTTTTTTTTAATTAGACAAAGGGATGGGGCAAAGGGTAGGTCTCGTTGACCTCTTCCCAGTCACTCTTGACTGGTGGCAGGCACCAACAAAATAAGGGCCTGCCCTGAGAGGTGCTGAGTGCCGTTGGCTCTAGTTGTGGTCAAGCAGGAACTTCTCCCCCAGAAGGGGAGGAAAGTGCCGAGGGAGCCCAGCATGCTCCAGGAAGAATTAAACTTTAGGCCTGGAGGAAAGAAGGGTGCGTTTTACAACTGAGAGCATTATTTTCCTCTTACTGGCTAGTCAGAGATGACAACTCAGTATAAAATGTCACTGCATGGAATAGTGCTCCATCAGGGCTCAGCCCATCAGGCTTCATTATTCTGTAGTTTGGGACAATGTTTGAAAAAAATTGCTGCCTAACACTCATGGATGACTGTCACAAATGCTGTCCCATGTTGTCTGTTACAAACCATGTGTCCAGTTCTGTTACAGCTGTTTACTGGATTGCTAACAGTAACTTGTACTGAATCTGCCAGTAAATGCTCACCAGGTTGGACCCTGTGTTAAGGAGCTGACTATATATAGCACTGTTATAAAAGGCCCACTCCAGTTCTTTAACTTCAGAGAAGGATTCATATTCACAAAGCTTCTGCCCTTTGGCTGGAATATGAAGAGGGCCTAAGCATTCTGAATACTGTAGCCTTAGTCCAAACACCCACATATCAGCTCCTGTTCCAAGTGCAGCCACAACAGTGATCTGTTTTGCACATTTATTCCATGGCTTCAATAGCCCCAGGGATTTGGTTTTTAGATAATATGGCTGCTGTTCTGGGGGGAAGCTGAATATCCTTGGCATGTTGGTAGTTTTTTTCCCCATCACAAGCATTGAGAGGGTCCAAAGGAGGGCCACTCGCATGATCCGGGGACAGCAGGGCAGACCCTACGAGGAGAGGCTACGGGACCTTAACCAATTCAGCCTTCACAAGAGAAGGCTGAGGGGGGACCTAGTGGCCGTCTATAAACTTACTAGGGGGGGGACCAGTGGGGAATGGGAGAGACCTTGTTCCCCTGAGCGCTTCCCAGAGTAACAAGGAATAACGGTTGTAAGTTGTTGGAGAGTAGGTTAAACTAGACATTAAACCACCACTTCACAGTCAGGGTGGCTAAGATCTGGAACCAACTTCTAAGGGAAGTGGTGCTGGCTCCTACCTTGGCGGGTCTTTAAGAGGAGACTCGACATTTACCTGGCTGGGGTCATTTGAGCCCAGTTTTCTCTCCTGCCCGGGGCAGGAGGTCGGACTAGATCTACAAGGTCCCTTCCAACCCTACATCTATGAATCTATAAGCTTATTGAGATATTGGAGGTAAGCTTCCAGGCTATGCCTCTGCAGCCAGCAGCACAGTCCGTGTTTGCTCCAACTTAGGTCTTTGGGAAGCAAAAATTAAGATGGCCATTACATTTTGTTAGTACTGTAATTTGCTAAAGAAATCCTTGTACAGAGCTCTCTCTCCTCTTTAACAGTCCTGTATTCATTAGCTCCAGGTAGGGGTCCAGTTCCCAGTGCAAAACAACCCCTACAGTTTGGTTCTACAAGTGACCAGAAAAAACACAACATGGCAGGAAGGGGGATGTGCAAAGCAGCTTGAGGATACACAGTTATGCACTGCCTATGGCAGTGGTTCTCAAACTCAGATTCAAGGCACCCCTCCAGAACTTTTGTGAATTAAGCATCACCCCATTTCAAAAACTAATTAATATATTAGAGGACTCAGGCTTACATCCTTGCAGAGGCAGCTGCCAGTGGGGGCAGGTGAGCAGCTAGGCAAGGAAAGCCTGATCATTCCCTTATCTCCTCAAACTTCCTGCTGCACCCTTTGTTACACCCCAGGACACCCCAGCACCCTTGATGAGAATCACTGGTCTACAAGTTAACCCCAGAGACAGGGTAGCAGTTTTATCAGTCTGTGTTTCTCTATTCCTATCTGCTCTGGGCAACACAGCATCTACTTGGCTGGTACAAACCTTGCAGGTTTACTGGGGAAACAAAAAACCCATCTTTATTCAAGGGCTAAGGACTTACTCAAGGACTGGCCCTTGAAATGACCCAGTGCAACTCATTCACTTCCAGCTCAGTTTGCATCTTTTAACTTTGGGCCCATCCCTATCACAGGAGGCAGGGGGAATTCATTATAAAACTTTTCATGTCAGCATCAGACAGACACAGCAGCACATCACCTAAACTTGTGCAAACTTTTTAAAAGACTGTTTAAAAAGGCTCCTTATGTAAAGGTAAGTGTGGCAAGGCAATTGGGGTGCCTTCCATTTTAAGAGGCTGGGCAGCCTGTGAAGCCACTGGCAGGTGTGGGTCAGGGCTAAATTGGGTGGGGGTGGGGGGATGGTCAGCTGACCCAGGGAGCTGGCAGATACAAGTCCAGACCTGAGAGAAGCTGGCAGGAATAACACCTGGGAGCCTGCTGAGAGAACATCACCTCTGGCTGAAGAAGGCCAGCTTGGAGAGAACACCTAAACCAGCCTGGAGGTTTGGGGAGGAACTAAGGGGATGAGGAGGTCCCTAGGGACCCAGGGAGGGGTCCAGAGCCCAGTGAGAAGCTAAGTGGGACCAGCAGTGGTCCAGATCCTAGTGAGGGGATGAGTGTTGGACCAACGAGGGTCCAAGAATCCCAAAAGGGGGTTAAAGTGAAAGAAAACATCTATAAAAGGATGTCATCTACGAGGCATGGGACATGGTGGAGGGGAGGAATGGAGCCATGCAATTAGCACATAAAGCAAAGGCCACATGCACCTGGCGATCATTTGGAAGAACAATTTAGGAAGCCCTGGTGCCTCCCTCATTAAAATAACTTATCAAGGCATGGTGGGCAACTAGAAGGGGTGATTGCCCACAAAGTGAGGGCACAATAAGTTATGCACCTAGCTGTAACAAGAACCTGGACATGCAACATGCTAAAACTGAATCTTCCATGGTTTTTCACATCAGGGCACCTTACTCTGAGGTCCTGAATGGACAGACAGACTAGCAGTAATCTAAGGTCAGCTGCATGCAGTACTTGTTATTACAGCGAACCTATTTGCACTAAGCAAATATCTACCCCAGAGCAACTGCTACCATAGAATAACTGCTAACACACAACACTGACACTTACGTTGGTGTATTTTTACTGTTTTTCTTTGGGTAACTCCCAATTTCTAGTAAGTTACACCAGTAAACATGTTGCAAGTCCAAGACCTTAGTGCCTTCCCAGCTATTCATATGATGCAGATGCTGTTTGAAAAACGAAGATAAAAAACACTCTGAAGATTCCTGCTGCTCCAAAAAACAGTGGATTAGGTCCAAGGTACTGCACTTTACTCTGCCATGTGCTACTTCTTCAGCAACCTTGAGAGCTGACCAGGAACATCAACACCTTAACTCTGCTCCTAGTCCAGCAGAGTTACCGTGTGCATCCATCAAGTCCTTTTAAATAGAAACAGCACAGAATCCACCATGTGCCCCCAAGTACCACAGCACCTTAAAGGTGGCAGGGGGTGGGGAAGAGGGAATGGTATCATTATTCACGTTTATTTCTTTGCAGTTGTGATCATGCAAAGTAGGCAGGGATAGGTCAGAATCTGTTATAAAACCTTATGCCATAGACAACAGCAGCAGTCAGGAGTCGCATTTTACCTCAGCAACCCCAGGCCAAAAGGCAACAAGACCACAACCTGG